GTCTTATCGAAGATGAACATAATATTATGTCTCAAGATCATTTTGCAGTCTCCAAAGAAGCCTTACATACGAACAATATTATACCTTTAGCGGCTTTCATAAACTAATATTTGACACTCTTTTTTGATAAGTGTTTTACGGCGTTTGCAACTGCATACGGTCATATGTGCGTGGGCTACTAACTAAACATTTTCAGTTTTGAATTTGTCAGGGTGGCGGACGAAGCCTACTCTTATTGATTTTAGACCACCGAGGGATCTTTAACGGGGACCACCGAGATTTTTCGTCATTGTCCGAGAAGGCTAAGCGTAGATCTTACCTACCATAACATCAGGGGTGTGACTGAAAGACAGCAGTAAGAAGGAGCCAAGGAGAAGCAGTAGTAAGGCTGCACAAAGAGTCAGCAGCCCAGAGGAGGGGGCAAAGGGGGTGAGAGGGTTTCGGGCAGAAAGTGGAGAGGCGAAAACAGATGACAGAACATTGTTAAAGGGCAGGGAAGGAAGAGAAAGGAGAAACTTTTAGAGGAGAAAATGTTTCGTCGCTCTCCGGATTCAAACCCGAGAGCCATTGAATGAGAGGCGAACACCTTAACCTCTAAGCCACAAGAGCCCCCATATTTGACACTATATTATTATCAAAATCGCAAAGACGCATACTTTTGGTTTCTGCTTGGATTTTAAGCTGCAGCCTAATTATCTTCATACTATCTACCTCTCAAGTCGTAGGTCTCATGTTTCTGCTCGATCACTCATTTTCTTGGGGGTTTTTTATTGAAAGAGAAAAGCTATCATATCGGGTTTTTATCGAACTAGTTATGTACACTTGAACACCACACTGCTGCTCATTTACATTGTAGGTGCTACACTGATCTCGCCTTTCGTGTGGTTTTTATCTGACCAGAAAATGCTGGCTGAAATATATTTCCTGTACGGGAATTAAGTTAAAAGTCTTTTGAGTGCTCCTGGAGAACCCGAACATGTTACTGAGTGATCGCCGGGCAGACAAGCAGAACAAACTGGTTAAGATTTTACCGACTACAAATCTCGCGCCAGTTGTCATAAACTGCTGAGGTTTGACACCTCTTTGGTGTATCTAATGTTTTGGGAGAATTCTTAAGGAAGACTTGCTCTGGGATGGTTTGTGGTTGCCAAGAACATTGTTGAACAGGCTTTGTTTACTCCAAAGGTCTAGTATTTATATTCCTGCTCGTTGTTACAAGATGCATTTGATGTAAATGTACTTTTTGTCAGCTTTACTTCTCCTTTCATATAGAATTTTAATGAGTGTAATATATATAATATAATTTTTTAATGTATATCTGCAAGTGTTTTTACGGTCCTGTACAGCCAAGGAAAATTTCAATCTGGGGTAATAAGTACTATCTTATCTTATCTTATATTATCTTGAAAGTGCTCTCGCTAAAGCATTTTGCTTCGTAAAGCATGTGGTACTTAGGGAAGAGTTGTATGAAAAGAAAAGATAATATTAGTTTCATATAAGCTAAGATAATATCACAACTTTCCCTCGCATACGCTGACATTACATTTGTATCAGAAAGATGACTGTAGTTTTAGTGAATGCATATATAATAATATTATAAACGCACATATTGCATTACGGACATTGTGTAATAAAACTGAGAGGTGGATTGAGCTTGACGATGGAGAAGAACATTTGAGGGTGCAGAAAATGTACCAACCAGAGGTGACTGCTGAGCACTAAAGTCTACGTACATACACGGAAATGATTAACAATAACTACACAGTCACTTAAATTTAAGTGTCCATGTGAACACATTGCTATGTTTGTTCATCTCTCAGGACAGGACAAGTTTTTAAAAATTCAGAATATGTGTGTCTTCATTACCACATCCCTCAGAATCCTCCCCTCCACCCCCCTCCCCCGACCACCTGCCCGACCCCCAACAGCAGTAACAACGACCTAAGTGGCATAAAATGAATCTCAACTCACCAAGAAGTATCGAAACTTTATTTCTCCTTGAAAATAGCTATTACCTCCTTCTCTCTATCTGAACTGTTCCCTTTTTTGCTTTTGTTTTTAATTTCTACGATAGCTTCATACCTAGATATTATTTTAATGCTATTGAAGATTGTCATTTTCCAGGATAAGACCCATAGCAGTAGCAGCTCTGTTGTTTATACAGTATTCATCTCGCTAAAGTGATGATTCATGGTTAGTAAGATTTTGTTATACGCGCTATTACTTCCTGGAAAGATTGATCTTTTCAAAGTTCGTGCTTGATAATTGAAAGGGCTGGCGTCTTCACGTTCGGATCTGCTCTGATTTGCTCAGGTCGCGAGAGGAAAATTAAATGTATTCTTTTTCATGTTGATATTTTTCTGTTTATTTATATGAAGAGGGTTTTAAGCTACTTCTCACTCCACACACTTTTCTTTTCACATATCTACCAGTCCTTTGCCCCTAACTGTGTCTCTCTTTGCCCCGTCTCTCTCCCTTTCACTTTGTGTCTATCTTTCCGTCTGTGTGTGTGTGTGTGTGTGTGTGTGTGTGTGTGTGTGTGTGTGTGTGTGTGTGTGTGTGTGTGTGTGTGTGAAGAGATCAGCTTTGATCCATCATTTTTCAGAACATGACATATCCTTGCTGAAATGAATATCACTGACCTAATTGACCCTTGTTGTAAACTGTCTGGTAAGTCTTATCTGGTTTTTCCTTTTATTATAAAAAGGAAATCAAAATTAAAAATAAACCGACAACTGAAGAAATAGTCAAGTGAATACATGCTAGAAAAAGAATTCTTTAGGGGAAAATAAAACAGAACCAAGCATACAACAAAGTGATTTTACAGAAAAAAGCAAAATGTAATAACAAAAAATTATCTAAGTTCTGACGACGCTAACTTGTGTCGCTCTTTATCCAAATTATCTGTTTACAAAATGGAGGGGAAAAAAAAGAAAAACGAAAACAAGAATAAAGAAATTATATCCAAGAAAACCATCCTACTTCCTGTGCCTTAACAAACGAAAGATTTAGCCTACATGATGACTTAATTGCCACTTCTCTGCAACAGGTTTATAGAACCTTTAAACAAATCAACCCCACAGCAATTCTATAACACTTTGCCGTCTCATCTCGCCAATCGGCAAGAACGCAAAACTTCCGCTCCCGTCACAAAAAGCCGATCGGCGATGTTTACCACCCAGTTTCTTTGGATTTCCCCCAAAGTGCTTGTGATGGCATGGGTTTTTACTACATATCAGCCTTGTGATGGCAAAGTGTTAAATTCAAATCAAAGAAGGCAGTTATCCTTTCTTCCAACAAAGCTGAAAACCCAGATATCAAACAAAAGATCTACTTCAATCTCTTCTGACGATAAAGTAGGAGAGAAGAGCAGAGTAAGAAAGTGTCAGTGCTGTGATTTTTGCATCTGCTCCCTACTTCATGTTAAAGTAATAGCTAAAATATAAAATCACAAATCTCACAAATCAATAAAACTGCAGAAACAAATTCCCCTCTACACAGAAGTTCTAAATTTAAAAAACCTTCAAAGTGAGGCCAGGCACTGAAACCAAGACCTCTTAGAAAATCCTGTTACACTGAATGATTACTGGGATCAAATTTTACATGCTTTTCCCCATTTAGCGAAGAATATTTTAGGGTTGGGCGAGGGAGGAATCTGTTTCTGTCATTTTCTGACATTTGATTCTCAGCAGGTTAAGTATCATTTCAACTGACAGCAAGACCAAAAAAAGCCTTTTTTTTTTAGGCGCAGCAACAATATGATGATATTTCTCCCACTTTCTTATACTTCCATCCACAAGATGAGGCAACGTTGCTGCTTGAGGTAGCTACTGGAGGCTGTACACACTGCCCACTGGCCTAAGGCTCCGGGCTCCCAGTAGTACAAATGACTCTACATTCAAACCCCATTCTTGAGAACCGCTCAACAAATACAGGTTTCGAAATCTAGAGTTGGTTATACAGCACAATTTTACATTCCACCAATACAAACATTTGATTGTTCAGAATCAGCACTCCCATACTCCGTACGGTACCGGCGTCATTTCACTGAGAGAAATCATCCGAGCAGACGGCGAAAACAATTACACCACACTGCACAGACAAGACATTCCGTCTGGCTTGACTTGCAGCAAAATACCAGAGGTAGCGTGGCCTCCTGAAATCCCACAAATAGGAGAGAGAACTGAAGCAATTCCTCCCTTCCGTATTTTCTACAGTAGACTGGGACATCACAAGAGGTGTATTGATGAGGAACAGACCCTGCCCTGGACTCAGCAGGCAGTGGGAGCTGGCTCGTGGAACCCCCACACGAGCATGGAGAGAACGGCAGGTACGCGGGGGGTAGCAGCAGACACAAAGCTAATCCCGCAGCTTTTCCGGCCCATCGGGTTGACAACACAACTGGAGCGTGTCGGTTCAATTCAGTGTGGCCCACTTTCATCTCTTGTTCTTCCCCTTCTTGGGGTGATCCGAGCCGTTCCACTCCGGGTCGTTGGGATCGTCGTCCACAATCCTCCGCTGCCTTATCCGTTTGATTGCCGAGGACACCACAGAGTCTCCCCCACTGCCGCCACCCACCCACTCGGGGTCGTTGGGGTCATCCCCTGCGGAGGACATAGACTCGTTGCTGGGATGAGGCGACGGTGCGGCGCTAGGCTCATCGCCCGCGTCTCCCCCGCTCACGTATACCTTCCCAGACGGCTCAGCCAGTCGTCGCGTGACGCGCTGGTGAACCGGCTCGCAGCAAGACGGCGCCTCCTCCTTCATCAGTCGGTACTCTTCCTCCGACAGAGGGAACACACGGCGAGGGTACGGCTCGCATACGCCAATCAGGTGGTTGTGAAGGTCGTCGTAGTGGCCGCGGCGAGAAAACGACTGGGCACGTCTGCGAGAGGCCAGCTGCTGCTGCAGGGAGTCCATGCCATCGTCCTGACTGGGGGTCGAGTACACTGGGTGACTGAAGACAAACACGGAAAACCATTTGTGAATTAAGTGAAATTTTTTAAAACTTTAAATGTTGGTGTTTCTGCGCCTCCATCCACACAATTTGGATCATAATAGAGGTGGACTTCCGATCCTGCCTGTCAGGGCCAACCCATGCTGAGAGGGATACAACATCCAAGCAGAAATACTCAAGAAATATTTCTCCCCACTCAGGTCTCAAGCCAGCGACAGAGAAGCCTTCACTGCTACACCACAGACACCAGTTTAATGTTTAACGAAGTGAAGTGAGAGGAAAGCATACAAGTAGGTAAAATAGAAGTTCAATAATGATTAGAACATAAGTGAAGGTGACATCATCATCATGCCAACAACAAATTCACCAAAATACTACTTGACTGAACTTTGCAGTGAAACAACTTACAACAGTCAGTCACTTCTTCACCATAACCACTGGCTACAGTTGATTATTTACTATCTAAACCTTTTCATAATCATGAACCCTATGACAAAATATTTCTTCTGTTCACCATGAAAGCAAAAATTGATTTTTTAAAAATGAAAACTTACTTCCTTTCACCACAGAGTAAAAGGACTCCTGAGGTAAGAGACCGAGCAAATATTCATTTAAAAAAAACAAAAAAACTAAAGCTCTCAATAGTTGCCCCAAGAAAAAGATGGTTATTTAAAGAGTGACAGACACTACAAGGTTACAAAGAGAGCAATCTCTGGGTCTTCTCAGTCAGCTCACATTTGAGAAAGTCCAGAGAAAAAAAACAGGCAGGGTGGAATTTGTGAGGATATCAATTTCAAAAACTTAAAAATTCAGAACTTCAGGTATTGGACTGTTGTTTTATATTTTTATAATTCAAGGAGGTGGGGGTCGCCTGATTTCAGAGGTAAAATAAGTGAGAAAATGGCTGCCAAAGCCTGGTGTGTTGCACAGCTTGAGAAACCTTGGAAACAAATAATTTACATTTTTTGTGCCTTTTATCAACTTTATTTCACTGAAATCTTCACAGATATGTGTTTTTCAATACATATAAAATTTTCTCTGATTTCATTAATTTGTCGAGCGTCTGATTTCACCAAGCTGCCTCACATATTTTCCTAATTTTCTGCCCCTTAATGGCGAGTACCTTCACTAAGAGGAAAGTACTGACCTTTTGCTCAACATCGGAGTCGTTGGACAAGAGCTATCCGACTCGCTGATGGTCGACAAGCCTGCTGGAGGTTCCAGGCCGTCACCGGCTGGCTTGCCCTGACACTCGGCTGTCGTCTCCTCCTTCACGTCCACCAAGACCTCGGAGCGAGCCCGGCCACGCCGGACAGGCGGGTACTGGACAAAACTGCGGAATCTCTTCTTCTCCTCCTGCTCCAACACAGCGTGGCGAGCGGCAAACTTCTCGTCCGACAAATCCTCCTCGTCAGACTGAAGGAAGAGAAAAAGGCAAGCCAGGTGTTTAATTGCAAGATCAATGAGACCATTAACACAACAACTTACTTCATAAGACCAACTTTACTTTCCCCATGAGAAAATGTACCTGGCACCTGTACTGTCATAAAAGCAAATACAAGTAATAACAAAAATTGTACACCTTTTATAGAGTTTTCTATATTTTTTTTTTATGTTCACCCAAGCAAACATTTTATAATCAACTTGATATCAACTTCAAAGCCACTAAACTGTAACAATTAACTGTACTTTAACTGGTGAAACTGCACCTCAATATTACATACTCCTCTGCAGCAAATTGATGAAATAATAAGTCTGTAAGAAACATTTCAACGTAGATTTCCTTGGACCTGTGGGAAAAAAATGTGAGCGCTGTAGGTGGAGGACAGAACTCACCAAGTCTGTCAGCCCCTGGTGTGAGTGTTGGTCTCCAGGCAGCGACACACCATTCGTCTTCTCCAGACAACGGGTCAGAGAATTGCTTTCCTCCGCACACTCAGACGCGGCCGACTCGTTCACCTCGCGCCACCTGTCAGGTGAGACGACACCACGTCATGAGAAAAAGCTCACAATCCAAGGCTCATCCAAACAACCTCTTTTTTGTTGTATAAGTAAGTGTTTTACACCACTTGCAACACAATAAGGTCATCATATAAGTGCCAAAGATCAGAGGTGTTACAATAGAGTAACAAACACAAAAAAGAAGGAAGAAAGATAAGAACAACAGAAATTTGAATGAAGGAGCAAACCACACCAGAACATCCACCAACCACCCCCAAACCTCTTTTTATATAGCCAAAAAAACTATTTTTCGCTTGTATCTTAAAATGTCTCAACATTCATTTTCAGAAATGGGAACATGAACCTCCTGAACTTGAGGGGTGTAAAAGTCCGATGTCTGTCACCGCCAAACAGTTCTGCACTCTAAGTAATAGCAGGAAAAAAAGAACTTTGCTGGATTTAAAAGACATTTATGAAAAGAAGAAATCATTGGTACACAATGATAGGTTCATTGTGACAAAGAATTCCAATAAAACACACAGCTTCAAAAAAATTCTTCACAGAAGTGTTCACTTACAAACAACCACTTCACATTAAAACCCTGTCTCTCACTCTCTCTCTATTTACTTCTTTTATCAGCCATGCAAACACACACCATTGTGCAAGGGCACTAAAATGAACAATAATTTAACAAACAGAAACGGTAAAAAAGGGAAGAAGAGAAAATAGTGCTGAAGTCATTACAACACTCTGTTTAAGCCTACATTCAAGGACTGGCAATTTTTCTTAATCCAAGGTAGGGGAAGAAGGGAGATATATAAAGGTTTGTAAGCCTAGAATAAAGATGCCTCGCCCCCCCCCCAAAAAAAAACCCCTCCATATCTCACTTTGGCGTGACAATCTCCTTGTACTGCGGCTGCTCCACCCGCGTGTTGGCGGCCATGCTGAGGGGAATGACGATGTTGTTGATGTCGTACGAGTTGTCCACTTTCCTGCGGCGCTGACCCGGCGTGCCGTGGCCGTCCCGGAGGTCCTTCAGGGAGCTCTGAGAGCCGCTGGCAGACAGATGACCCTCGCGGCCCAGGCCTCCAGGCGGAGCCGCGTCTTGGTCAAGGTACATGCCCTCCAGATCGTCGTCTTCCTCTTCTGTCCGGTGCTTCTTCAATGAATCTGGGGACAACACCAGGACTATATTTTATAAAGAACTAGATACAAAGTACAAACAGCAATCTCAAAAGGAAAAAAAATAATGGTTCAGGTGGGGGAAGAAGTGGGACAGATAAAAGTTTCTTAGACCAGAATGCCTTAGCTGTCAAAGTGCTAGGTCTGATTCCCAGTTCATGCATGCAAAGAAGAGGGAAGATTTTTTTCTCAGACTTTTCCGCTGCATAGATGGGACCGAGCCCCCATAAATAAAGAACAAAGACAAAAAAAGGACAACACAGTTTGAACATTCTGCCTAGATCAAAAACACATTCAGGCAACAGTTGACAGCCAAAGGACAGCAGACCCACCAAGGCCAGCTGCCAAGGTAAAAACCAAAAAAAATCTCAAGCCACACTGATGTCCACAAATCAGTGAACAGAGTAACATACATAGCTAATGAAACTGGAAAACAAATACACATCTGTGACAAATGGGCAATAGGTGGAGATTCAAAACAGGGTCATCCATTCCATCACTCTGGCTCTGCACAATAATGCTATAATCTTAGAAGCAAAATGTATGAATGAATTGTAATTTAGTACTTAACAGGAAAAGTAGGGGATTACTGGGTTTGGGTGAAGTACGGTGTGGCTTTATGTCACGGAAGCGCTACGCTAGTCGTGAAAGTCAACCCGCGTCACCCTGAATGTCGCTGGCCAACAGGGCTCTGGTGAAGTTACGACAGGCCTTGCAAGCCTACTGTAATGGATAAAAACAGCTAAAAATCAAAGAAAGTAGAAAAAGAAACGAACTTGCACCTCCCATCGACATCCCAAGGATATCATCAGAGGAATGAAAAAATTGGGGGGTTTTTTGTTTCTTTATTTAAAAAGGAAAAGTAAATTAAAGACAAATGGAAGCCACCAAGAACAGACTTACTTCGTGCAAATCCAGACCCTTTTCTTTGCACTTTCTTTACCCGTGTTTTGACAGGGGCCCCCTTGGACGTTGCTGATTTCTTCCCCTTGGTCTTACTCTCATACTTGTTCTTGATCTCTGAAAAGACACACATAGGAGCCAGTTGTGAACATGACACCACAATAAGCAGTGACAAAAACAGCCCTTGAGGTACTAATTTGGAAATAGTGATCCAATACAGGTCACAAAATATAATTTAGTTTTTGTACCAGTTTTATGGCACTCGCAGCACAATTAGGCCATAAAAATGCTGAAGATTAGGTGTTTCTAAAGAGTAAAAGGCAAATAACAAGGAGGCAGAGAGATAAAGACCATAAATGTCTGATAAAAAAAGAAGGAACAAACCATCCAAGAACATCCCCCAACCACTCTTCCCCAAAGCATGAGCTGTTGGTTAAGAACGAAGTTGATAAACTCTGTACACTTAAAACTTAATTCTTTAAATCCTGAGTTTTTTCCACCGTTTCCGCAAAAGCTTGCCTCCAACTGCTAAATGGCAGAAACAAAGGCTTAGTCATTACTTTAAAAACTTGGATCAGGAATAGTTCCAAAAAAACAATCAAACTCTAGCACTAAATAATGAAATGAAACAGTTGTCACTTGTATCCAGCGTCCCCTGGGGTTTAAATAAATCCCAGTTAGTGCACCATTGTAAATCTAAACTCCATGTCTACGATACTTGAAGTTTCTTGAAAACAATGAAGTCTTTCTCCTTTGATATTCTTCTCTCTGCCTTCTCAACAATACCTACAGAAAGATTCATATTAGTTTAATTCACTAGGTAAACTGTTGGGAATTTATTTTTCACAACAGGCATTACGGGTTTCCACTTGCCTCACATTTTCTCTGTATAAAATGGAAGCCATAAAATTTCAAACAGACCTCCCTTATTCAATTTTATGAGCATATTTTATTTTAGCAGCATCTCTAACACCACAGAAAGACAGAAAGGGAACTTGCAAAACCTCTCTCAGAATGTGTATTGCGTATTGCCTAATGTATTACATACATACTGGACTCTTAATAATGAAAAAAAAAGGAAAGCACTGGATAGGAACTAAAATGTAAGGTAGAAAGAATAGATAAGAAAGACAATGCACATATAAACAGAAGAGCTGAGAGGCTACAGAAACTTAAAATTAAACAAAAATTCTAAAAAGGCAGAGAAGAATGATTTGTTACAAAATAACAAAATAATAATTATCATCATCATCATTTTACTGTGAGCTGAAACCAAAAGAGAAGCCCGCAAGCTGGGCACATCCACAAGTGAAAGTGTAGCTTTTTAAAGTTCAAAATGTGGCAAACTTTTCTCTGCTGCCGGGGTCTGATCGGCCACATCAGAAGCAACAAGTCATCTTAACCTTTAACTTCTTTAAATTCTTCATTTCGCAGGAGAAATATTCTCCTACGGGGTCCTATTGGTCATCATCAGACGTTGACGGATAAGCTATTATTATTATCATCATTATGTACTGCAGAGAAGACACAAGGTTTGAAAGTTAGTTATCAGTACAAAAAGAAGACGTGCATTTCCCACCTAGAGAGGGAAAGGGACTTAATTTTTAGAGGAAAAAACCAAACTTACTTGCAGAAAAGTTTATCACAGACGCTGCACTGTTGTTCCTTCCATTCTGCTTGCTGCCATTCCCGTTTTTGCGAGCAGGCTCTGTGACAAAAGTGATCACCTTCTGCCGCCTGTAATCGTTCATGCGTGACTTCCGCGGTGGCGGTTTATTCTGCCACAGGCCCGACTTGAGAAGGCCTTCGCAGTGTATGGGCAGGTGAACATCTTGTGGGAATGAAAGCACTGGGTGAAACGAGGGGTCCAGTATGGCCACCTTCTCCTTGAAACACATGGTGTCCGCGTCCACAATCTGCGTGTTGTTGTACCGGCCACCACACATCGGACACGTCCCGCTAGGGGGGTAACAGCGACACTTCACATCCGAGAGACGTGCCGCCTTCAGGTTTGATTTGTACAAGCCAATGGTCTTGAGAATCTTTCTCTTACGGTAGCTCCGCAGGGGCCGGCACCTCGCCGCTTGGCAAGATGCGTCTGAGGGGGCAGAGGAAATGTTGGGGGTCAAAAGGTCACCAAACTTCTCAGGGAGGCGCAGCTCTGTGGGAACCATGGGGCTGTTCTCCCGCGTCGTGTCGGCATCCGTCGTGCTACCAGCAGGCGAGTCTGTCGTGTTGTTCCCACAAGGCATGGGAGAGATCTTGGAGGAGGATCCCGCAGGACTGCCCAGCGTGGAATTTGCCGGAGACAAACAGTTACCCAGCGACTGAGTCAGCCTCGACGCTTGCTTATCAATGTTCGACAACACCGCAGAAACGTTGCAGGGGGAGACTTCACTGCCAGGAGAGGTGGAGTCCGTCGCAGGCACGGAACTCTTCACCTCCGTGGAGGAGGCAGCAGCGTTCTTTACCGGGAGTCCCTGAAGCCGCCGCAGAATGTCCATTGGGGTGGGCGGATCTCCCAGCACCACTCCCCCCTTGCTGTTGCGGAGCTGTCGGTACACCTGGCTCTGTTGCCGTATGCGGTACTCCAGGTCCGACACCTGCGCCTGAAGCCAGGTCCAGCGCGATACCACAGCTGCTCGGTCTTTCGCCCACTTCCACTCTGCACGCTTCAGTCTGCAGGAACGACAAAAAAAGAAACAAATGATAAACAACCAATGCCCTATCTAGCAATCTCAAATGTGTAAGACAGTCATCTATATAAATATATTGTTGATTCACAACAATCATGTCTATATAAATATCAGTTGCTCCCAAAGAAACTATCAATGCAAAGTGTACTTACTATTGTAACATTTATCACAGGTGTTCATTTTCACAGAGCACCGAGTTTTTAAAGACATGAACAAATACTGATTTTTCCATGAAAAGAAGAGTGTAATTCAGAGTAATTTTAGTTTTAGTAAGAGTTTGTTTTTTCATTTTGGTGTTTTACTATGCTCGCAACTGTATATGGTCATATATAAGCGCACAAGACATATTCATTATTTTCAGTTTGGTAGGAGTTAATTTTAAATTTTGCCCAGACCCAGGTGGCAGCCAAAGCCTGCTCTTATCCATTTTGGGACCACCAAGGGATCTTTAACATGCCCAACTTGAACATGGGATCTCCCGAGTTTTTTCACCCTTATCCAATAAGGCTAGGTGTTCCGTCCAGTAAGCTTATGTCTCCTCTTGCGCGACGCGACATTTAGTCGCACGCGACAGTCGCTAGTGATGAGTCGCGAGGTGTGTATCCTTATGCGCAACCACATTGCACCACAATTTTTAGTTTAGTTTTAGTATAGGTTTTACAGCGCTCGCAACTGCATAAGGTCATACATGTATGAGCGCCAGAAGATTAGAAGTGTTACAAGAGAATAACAAACATAAAAAAGAAGAAGGGGAGATAAGGATGATAGATGTTCGATAGGAAA